GCAGCAGCAGCAGCAGCGCGCTCCGGCAAGCTTCAGGAGGGCCGAGGGAAAACAGCGTTTGTGTCTGCAGTGTACGTACAACCCCGCACTGCAGCAGCAGCAGGACAGCCCCTCCACAGCAGCAACAGCAGCAGCGGCAGCGGCAGCAGCAGCAGCAGCAGCAGCAGCAAATGTGTGTGTGCGCTCAGGCTGCGCCGTTTATGGCCCGGCAGCGGGCGCAGTACGAGCAGCTGCTGAAGCGGCTGGAAGCAGAGCGGCAGCAGCAGCAGCAGCAGCGGCAGAAGCAGCACGCGCGGGAGCTGCAGCTACACCAGGAGAAGCTGCAGCTGCAGCAGCAGCAGCACGAGCTGCAGCAGCAGCAGCAGGAGCTGCAGCAGAAGCAGCAGGAGCTGCTGCTGGTGGAGCGGAAGTTCAGCGAGCAGCGGGAGAGCATCGAGCGGCGGCTGGCGGCGGAGCAGCAGGAGCTGCAGCAGCAGCAGCAGCTGCTGCAGCAGCAGCAGCAAGACTTCGCCCACAAAAAGGAAAACTGGTGCGCAGCAGCAGAACAAAATCGCAGAGAAGCTCATAAGGCTCAAGAGGCTCTTCGAAAAGAACAAAAAGAAAATGAACAAAAAAGAAGACAGTTGGATGAGAAGCAGCTGCAGCTCATTCAAAAACAGGAGGCCCTTGACGTGAGCTGCTTCTGCTGCTGCTGCTGCTGCTGCGGCTGCTGCTGTGGGTGGTGCTGCGGCTGCTGCTGTGGGTGGTGCTGCGGCTGCTGCTGTGGCTGCTGCTGTGGGTGGTGTTTTGGCTGGTGCTGCTGTGGCTGCTGCTGCGGCTGCTGTGGGTGCTGCTGCTGCGGCTCCTGCTGCGGGTCTCGCAGGAGATCGGCTGGATAGATTTGCTGCTGAGGGCGTCACGGGGGCTGCTGCTGCAGGCGCTCCTGCCGCACTTTTCGCTGCTGCTGCTGCTGTTGCTGCTGCAGTGTAGTGTTCATTTTGGGTGTATGTACACCTCAGGCTGACCGCTACCAGCTAAATGAAGAGAAGCTGCAGCTGCAGGAGCAGCAGTTTTCTTTGGACGCGACAATGCAGCAGCTGCGCGCAGAGACGCAGGAGCTGGAGCAGCAGCAGCAGCAGCTGCAGCAGCGGGAGCAGCAGCTGATGCAGCGAGAGCTCGAACTACAGCAGCAAGAAGCAGAGACAAACAACCTCCGGGCGCAGCTGCAGCAGCAAGAGGCGAGGCTCCAGGCGAGAGAAGACAGCCTGCGGCGGCAGCAGCAGCAGCAGCAGCAGCAAGAAGCAGAGCTGCAGCAGCAGCAGCAGCAGCTGGAGCAGCGAGAGGCCGAGCTGCAGCAGCAGCAAGATCAGTTCCAAAGGCAACAGGAATTACAACAGCAAGAACTGCAACAGCAGTATGCGAATCTGGAGCACGAGCAGCAGATGCTGCAGCAGGAGCAGCAGCTGCTGCAGCAGCAGCAGCAGCAGCTGCAGCATGAACAGCAGCAGCTGCAGCAGGAGCAGCAGCAGCTGCAGCAGCAGCAGCAGCTGCTGCAGCAGCAGCAGGAAGGTGTCAAGACCAAACAGCAGGAGCTGACGAGGGCTTTGGAGGAGGCTGCAGCAAGACAGGTGCCACCGATTCTCCCGCTGTTGCTGCTGCTGCTGCCGCTTACAGTCTTGCAGCAAACTCTGCAAGGCAGCTTCTGTTTGTTTGCAACTGGCTTGCTGCTGCCGTCGCTGCTGCTGCTGCTGTGCTGCAGAGAGAGGCGGAAGCAGCGAAGAGAGAGTGCAGCGCTGAGCAGCAGCAGCTGCAGCAGCAGCGCGAGGAGCTGCAGCAGCGTGAGCGTGAGGTGGAGGCGAAGGAGCAGCAGCTGCAGCAGCAGCAGGAGGAGGTGGAGCGGCAGCAGCAGCAGCTGTTGCTGCAGCAGCAGCAGGCGCAGCAGCAGCTGGAGGAGGAGCTGGCGGAGCGTCGGGAAGCGCTGGAGAAGGCGTTTGCAGAGCGGCAGCAGCAGCTGGAGGAGGAGCAGCAGCAGCAGCTGCTGCAGCAGCAGCAGCAGCTGTTCGCGGAGCTGCAGGAGGAGCGTCAGGCTTTGCAGCAGCAGCTGGACAGCCAGCTGCAGCGGCTGCAGGAGCAGCAGGAGGCCGCAGGGCGGGAGCGGCAGGAGCTGCAGCAGCAGCGGGTGCAGCAGGCGCTGAAGCAGCAGGAGCTGCAGCAGCAGCAGCAGGAGCTGCAGCAGGCGGCGGAGCGGCTGCAGCAAGAGGAGCGGGAGCTGGCAGCAGCGCAGCAGCAGCTGGCAGCGCAGCGGGAGGAGCTGGAGCAGCTGGAGCAGCAGGCGCAGCAGGAACTGCAGCAGGGGCAGCAGCAGCAGCAGGAAGCCCTGGAGGCGCTGCAGCGGCTGCAGCAAACCGAAGAAGACATCAGCAGCCAGCAGCTGCAGCTGCAAATGGCGCAGCAATCTCTTCTTGCTGACAGAGAAGCTTTTACTCACGAAGCACTTCGTGCTGCTGAGGGCCGCAGGGCCCGCGAGCGGCAGCTGCAGCAGCGGGAGGAGCTGCTGCAGCGGCAGCAGCAGCAGCTGCGCGCCGAGAAAGCTGCTGTCGAGACGCTGCAGCGCATCACCCAGCTCAGGGCCGGAGAAGCAGCAGCAAAAATGAAACGCCTGCCGCTTTCCGCCGACATTGCTGCTGCTGCTGCTCCCCCTCCTGCTGCTGCTGCTGCGCCGCCGCCGCCGCCGCTGCAGCAAGCCGCAGCAGCAGCGGCGGAAACCAGCAGCAAGGCCAGCAAGGGCGCCCACGGCAACCCGCCGAGGGGCAGCAGCAGCAGCAGCGGCAGCAGCAGCACCCGCAGCGGATCCGTGGGCGGCAGCAGCAGCAGGCGCGGCAGCAGCGCCGAGGCCCGCGCACGACGAATTGCTGCCGCTGCTGCTGCTGCTGGCACTGCAACAAACCCCACAGCAGGAACTGCGCCCGTCTCGGGTACGCCTCAAGGCCTGCTGCTGCTGCTGCTGCCGCTGCTGCAGCAGCAGCAGCAACACCGCGCAACAGCAGCAAAAACAGACCGCACTATGCTTCTTTCCAGTGACACATAGGCATCATGCTGCTGCTGCTACTGCTGCTACTGTTCCTGCCGCTGCTGCTGCTAATGTGGATGTTTTTGCCGCCTGCCCATTGTGCATGCTTGTAGCGTCTTCTGCCGCGCAGCAGCGAAGGGCAGCAGCAGCAGCAGCAGGTGCAGCAGGAGCAGCAGGAGCAGCAGGAGACCATGCATCTCTTCCGGCAAGTGACAGCAGCAGCTCAGGGGCGAGAGGCCGCGGGCTGCATTCTGCTGCAGGAGTTGTAGCAGCCCGACCAGCCCCGAATAGCAGCAGCAGCAGCAGCAGCAGCAGCAGCAGCAAAGCGCCCTTCGTGCACCACTCGCCCTTCCTAGACGAGTGGCCTTTAGAAGACCTCGACGCAGCAACAGGTGCTTTGCGCGAGGCGGCTTCCGGAGCAGCAGCAACAGCAGCAGCAGCAACAACAGCAGCAACAACAGCAGCAGCAACAGCAGCTGGGTCCCCCATATCCGGCGGCATCAGCCCGGCAGACACTTCACCCCCTTCCCGTGCCGCAGCAGCAAACGGTAAGGTTTCTAGTTTTGTTGCTGCTGCAGCTGCCGCTGCCGCTGCTGCTACAGCAGCAACAGCAACAGCCACAGCAACAGCAGCAACAGCAGCAGCAGCAACAGTCTGCCTCAGTTATTCCCACATGCCCTGTTTCTTGTGAAGCTGTCCTTGATGCTGTCTCTATGAGTGTCTAGGCAACAAATATGTGTCCACCTCTGCTGCTGCTGCTGCCGCTGCTGCTGGTGCCGCTGCTGCTGTTGATGCTGCTGCTGCTGCTGCTGTTGCTGCTGCTGCTGCTACAGGCGGACCCGTAAGGAATGTCGCTGCAGTTGGAGCCACAGGGAGAACTCTGGGGGCCCCTCAAAGCGCCCTCAGCCTGCCGCGGCCGTCAGCGTCTTTGCTGCAGCAGCAGCAGCAGCAGCAGCTGTACAGGCCCAACTCGAGCTCGCTGTCCCTTGCAGAGCGCCAAAGGCAGCAGCAGCAGCAGCAGCAGCAGCAAGACCGCAGCGGGGGGCTCCTAGGGGATCGGCTGTCGGCTGCTTCTGGAAGCAGCAGAACTCAAAACCGGCTGACTACAGGCGAGAGCCTGCTGCTGCGGCAGCAGCAGCAGCAGCAGCTGCAGCCCAAATCAGCTGGCAGCAGCAGGAGCCTCTCAAGTGTGTCTTCTAGTCTTCGGGGCCTCGTGCTGCAGCAGGAAGGCAGCAGCAGGCTGCAGCCGTCAGCAGCAGCAGCAGCAGCAAACGCTGCAGCAGCGTCTCCCGCGCCTTCTATCCAGCAGCGCCTCGGCAGCGGCACTTCTCTGCTGCCAGGAGGGGACTGCCGCAGCAACAACAACAGCAGCAGCAGCAGCAGCAACGGGGCTGCTGGCAGCCTCGCGGCTCTCACGGAGAAGCGCAGGCAGCAGCAGCAGCAGCTGCACCACTCTATCTGCCGCGAGCCACCGCAGCTAAGCAGCCGCACTTCATCTTCGCAGCAGCAGCAGCAGCAGCAGCAGCAGCAGCGGCAGCAGGCGCTGGGTTCCCTCCGTGCTGCAGCTGCTGCTGCTGCAGGCGTAGGCAGCAGCAGCAGCAGCAGCAGCAGCAGCACCGCGGACGCCGCCCACGGGCGGGCCTCTGGCCTTTCTGTCATATCGCATTTATCTGCATTTGAGTTTTCAGACTACAGGGGTCCCCTGGGGGCCCCCCTGGGGGGCCCCCCTGGGGGGCCCCTGGGGGGCCCCCCGGGGGGCCCCCTGAGTCTCGAGGGGGCAGCTGAAGAATTTGCTGCTGCTGACTTTGAGGGTTTAGGGACTTCAGGGAGGCCCTCGTGATGCAGCAGCAGCAGCAGCTCTTCTAGTTTGTCTGTCATTCAGTCTATTTAAAATTGATTAATTAATTAATTAATTAATTGTCTTTTTGTCTGCTGCTGGCCTTCATCTCCC